GGGAGGGGAGGAGCAGCAGGCACCAGGGGACCTGATGGAACAAGGGGAGGAGACATGGCAGCAGAGAGAAAAGGTAAAGGTTTAAAAATATTTATTAATAACTTGGGTGCCACAGTGACACATCCAGACAAGCCACATGAACTCAGTACAGGTGCACAGCACAAAATTCATTCTGCTCATGGGAGGAAACTCTTAGGCTATGTCTACACTGGCGATTTCTTGTGCAAGAACACATCCACACTGCCATGTGCAAGCCGTGCTTTTGCACAAGAGCATCCATGGCAGTCTGGACGCTGTCTTGCCTCTTGAGCAAGAAAGCTCCAGTGGCCATTTTAGCCATAGGGGTTTCTTGCTCAAGAAATCCCTGCTGAGCATCCACACTGCCTTCTTGCACAAGAGAGTTTACACCTGTTAGAAAAGAGCGTAGCTCTTGTGCAAGAAACCCTCTCCTACTACGCCATACTGTAAATTTCCTCGCGCAAGAGCAGGCGGGCAGTGTGGATGCTCTGTGGGTTCTTGCACAAGAACGGCTGTACTTGCGTAAGAAGCCACAAGTGTAGACATAGCCTTAGAGGGAACACTTCCTCCAGCCTCTCTGCCCCCGAGTTAATGTCACACATATTGGGTTAATGCAACTGCAGGATAGTTGCATGAGGGGGGTTTGGTGGGGGCCAAACTAATCCCTGTTGGTAGAAGGATGGTGGGAAAAGGCCTTCGAGAGGGGTGACATGACACCTTTTACTTCTGGTCATGTGTCCATCTTGCCCCGAGCGTGTTATCTCCAGAGGCGTGGCTAATGGAGGTCAGGGGGCATGGCTAATGGGGGCCAGGCGGTGTGGCTAATGGGGCACCACCAAAAATTATACAAACCTGCTGCCCATGCTTGCTGCCTCTGATACAGAGGCAGCAAATGGGGAGAGAAATGTGTGTAGTTGATAGGATTAAACAATAACCCCAGGCTTATCAGTTAATTGTGTAGTCGACTACACATTGACATCCTGAGTTTCTGTAGAGATGTATGTGTTAGCAAAGAGATATTTCCTGTAATAGGAAGTGCAGGTTAGGTTTTGTTGTTGTTGAATGATTGGTTTATTTTATTCAGTCTCTTATTTAAGTTTTTAGTTTTAAATATAAAAGCAAAATTAGCAAAGTTATAATATTTACACGAAATAATTTCTTGTTGTGACCTTCTGATTGTTTAATTGTGTATTTGGACTTCTGTTTGTGCAATGGACAAATGTATCTAGAATTAGAACTCTTGGCACATTAAAGCTTTCCTAGAATGCATCTTGGTAAGACTAATGTGTTTCGTTTATAGAAATGCTGCTCAGAACACTGGCCTTCTACACACCACCTTTGTGCTATTCTGGATAAGGTGGAAACAGTGCCTCTAGTGAGAGTCCCATTGGCAGTCATCACTATCGGTGCTTTGCTGATCATAGCTATTTTTAATTTGGTAAGTACTTGCAGTTGTCTTTGTTCTGTGCTTTTATTTAATTTTGTATTCTTTCCAGACCTGCCCACCCACTCCACTCCTGTGTTAACTCGAGTACCATGTTCTTGGCCTTATTTTCTGATGTGTAACTCATCATTACAGAAAGATAATACTGAATGTTGGGCCAAGTAGAATGCTGAGGAGAGAGATTGTGCAATTTGTGGAGCCAGAAATTCATATATTATATCTCATTCTCTATTTGTTTCAGGCTGTCTGTAGTATCTGCTGATTATAATTACTATGGCTATAAGCGAATGCCAGCTTTTTTATAATAGTGAGTTATTTGGCTTGCATAGGCAATGGTTTTATGGCATATAGGCAACCCAGCACTTCTTCATTGCACTAGCTAAGGTCACTGAGGAGGATAACCAAGAAAAGTAAGAATCAGTGCCCTGTTTAAAAACAAAGCCACTATGGTAGTTGCAAGGTCCTATTCAGGAGTGTTTACTCCCATTGTTGGAGTTCAGCTTGAGTAGGGCTGCAGGATTTAGGGTCAGATTCAATTTTCATTGAAGTCCAAAGCAAGTCTTTTTACTGTCTTCAATGTACTTGTTGTACTGAACTTTTGGCTCATAAAATGGAAAGGCTAAAAGCTGTTTAGAAGTCCCCAAAATATTAATAACTTTTCTCCCTGGATCACGCAGCTCTGAAAACAGGTTCACTTTTGAAAAATGTGTCAAGTTTTGACATGACCTTTTCTTATAACTTCAGATCACTGTAGCAATATGCTGCACATGTTCAGGGGATCACCATCAGTATTGAACATGTATGTTACAAGAAGGCCTAGAAGGCAGCTAGAGCAAGGCCCCAGGGGCTGGTGCTATTATTTATGTAACAAATGACTACCTCCCCACTTGCACCCCCCTGCCTCCTTTTTTAATATTCTTTCTTGGCAATGAATCAGCTTGCTGACAAAAGTATATCCATAATTGTTACTGGATCAAGTGATGAGGTTCTCACCTTTGTGTTCAGTAGAGTGCCACTTCCATTTCTTAGACAAAAACCAAGACCTGGATGTGTGTAATACTGATAGCTGGCCAGTTTCCTATATGAAAATAGAACTCCTCAATGATTGACAACACAAAGGTGAACGCCTGTCATTAAACACTGCCAGCAGCTCTCTCTGACCAAAAGTGTAATTCTCTGCATTACATGGGATCTGCAAGAGATGGCTTTGTTGCTCTTCATTCTGGAACTTCCAGAAGTGTTGAATACTTTTAACTCTAGTTGAAGTTGTTAGGTATGGACATTTAGCACCTTTTGGAATTCAGTGTTCTTAGGGCAAATATTGTACCTATCTATAAAAAGGGGAATAAGAACAACCCAGGAAACTACAGACCGGTCAGTTTAACGTCTGTCCCAGGGAAGATAATGGAGCAGGTAATTAAGGAAATCATATGCAAACACTTGGAAGGTAATAAAGTGATAGGGAATAGCCAGCATGGGTTTGTGAAGAACAAGTCATGCCAAACTAATCTGATAGCTTTCTTTGATAAGATAACGAGCCTTGTGGATAAGGGAGAAGCGGTGGATGTCATATACCTAGACTTTAGTAAGGCATTTGATACGGTCTCGCATGATATTCTTATTGATAAACTAGGCAAATATAACTTAGATAGGGCCACGATAAGGTGGGTGCATAATTGGCTGGATAACCGTAGTCAGAGAGTTGTTGTTAACGGTTCTAAATCCTGCTGGAAAGGGATAACAAGTGGAGTTCCTCAAGGGTCTGTTTTGGGACCCGTACTGTTCAATATCTTCATCAATGATGTAGATATTGGGATAGAGAGTACTCTTATTAAGTTTGCAGATGATACCAAACTGGGTGGGGTTGCAACTTCTTTGGAGGATAGGGACATAATTCAAAATGACCTTAGCAAGTTAGAGAAATGGTCGGAGGTAAACAGGATGAGGTTTAATAAGGAGAAATGCAGAGTGCTCCACTTAGGAAGGAACAATCAGTTCCATACATACAAGATGGGAAGCGACTGTCTAGGAAGGAGCATGGCGGAAAGGGATCTAGGGGTCATAGTGGACCACAAGTTGAATATGAGTCAACAGTGTGATGCTGTTGCAAAAAAAGCAAATATGATTTTAGGTTGTATCAACAGGTGTGTTGTAAGCAAAACTCGTGAAGTCATTCTGCCGCTCTATTCTGCACTAGTTAGGCCTCAGCTGGAGTACTGTGTCCAGTTCTGGGCGCCACATTTCAAGAAAGATGTGGAGAAATTGGAAAGGGTACAGAGAAGAGTGACAAGAATGATTAAAGGTCTAGAGAGCATGACCTATGAAGCCAGGCTTCATGAACTGGGCTTGTTTAGTTTGGAAAAAAGAAGATTAAGGGGGGACATGATAGTGGTTTTCAAATATCTAAAAGGGTGTCACAAGGAGGAAGGTGAAAATTTGTTCCTCTTGGTTTCTGAGGACAGGACATGGAGTAATGGGCTTAAAGTGCAGCAGGGGAGGTTTAGATTGGACATTAGGAAAAAATTCCTAACTGTCAGGGTGGTCAAATATTGGAATAAATTGCCAAGGGAGGTGGTGGAATCTCCCTCTCTGGAGATATTTAAGAACAGGTTAGATAGACATCTGTCAGGGATGGTGTAGACGGAGCTTGGTCCTGCCTTGAGGGCGGGGGGCTGGACTCGATGACCTCTCGAGGTCCCTTCCAGTCCTATTATTCTATGATTCTAGGGGACTAGTTTGGTACAATACAAGAGTGACTACTACTGTTGATCAGCTAAACTTTATATAGAAGCCTATTGGCAATATAGTTTTTTGTTCAGTCTTGTAGATTTTTCACTTTATAGTCCAAACAGATATGACTGTATTTTAAAGGTGGGAAATATTTTAAAAACACAATTAGCACTTACTAAAGGACTCATCCAATTCCCATTGGTGTCCAGAGGGATTCCATCCATTGATTTCAGGGCACTTAATGTTCAGAAATTAAATTCTGTCGAGAAGTCACCAAAATGGTTATGGATAAGTTTTCACATTTGGTTGCCCAACTCAGAGTTAGGTGCGTTTTTGAAATGTATGTGGCAAGTTGTGATGAGATCTTTTTGTGCAAACTCTTATTGCTCGAATGATGTGCTGCTTGTGTATGGGGCACATCCCATTCTGCTGCTAATCAGTGTTTCCATTTTTTCTTGCCTCTGAATCAGCCTACTGAAAAATGCACAACTGTGGACACTTCTGGATTGTATATTAAGGATGTCACCTTGCCTGTGAGTAGAACACTAGTTTTCTTCCAAGATTAAAATACATACATCTCAAATGATGGGTTTAATATTGATACCTGGCAGGCGTTTGGTATCTTTCCATTGCTCTTTGAAAATATGGCTTTTTAATCATTGAAGTGCACAGTACTTCACCTCTGCAATTCTGGTTGTCCTGTCTATCATAGACCCACATGGTTTTTCTGCATTCGGAGGGATCTACAGAAGATACATTTATAGCTTCTCTTTTCGGAAATTTTAGACTTTCAAAAAAACAAAGGTAGAATTTGAGAAAAGTAGTCAGAACAGAAACGGTGGATATGACTGAAATACATATTACAGTACAATAAATGAATATAAATCAGTATTTGAGTTTATGGTAGTACAAGGGAAAGGGTTATGATACATGGATATGCACTGACCTCTTGCATATATGTATGTCTACACATACTGGGAAGGTGCTGCCTGTGTGCAAACCTGTCAAGTCCCTGGTATGGACTGGGACAGTTAGCTCATGTTGCTACCCGTGTTACCCCCAGCTGTGTTGCTACTTCTGACATGCTGGCTCACGCAAAGTTTGCATGTGTCTGTCTTCCCACCTGCAGTATAGACAGACCTCTAAACTTTGAGTGCTGAGCACCTTTGAAAATGTGAGCCTGGGATGCATAATCAGGGGACGCTCAAGTAGGGGTACAGGTTATTTTACCTCTGTATTTGGCAGTGGTGCAACTGCTGCTGGAATATTGGGTTCTCAAAGAGCCTAGTCTGTTTAGTTTAACAAAAAAGAAAGGTGACGTGATTATAGTCTGTAAGTATATGCCTGGGTAACAATTTAATAATGGTCTTCAGGCTAGGAGAGAAGGATATGACATAGTCCAACAGTTGCAAGGTGAAACTGGTCAAATCCAGTCTGGGAAAAAAAGGGTACATTTTTATCAATGAGGGTAATTATCCATGGTAACAATATATCAAGTGTGGTGGCAGGTTCTCCATCACTGTCACTTTTAAAATCCAGATTGGATGCTAGTCCAAAACAGTGAAGGGCAGCCTAGGCTAGTGAGTGGGCCATGTGAGTGGCCCTTCTTCGTCTCAGTAGGCTGCAAGATTGTCATAATCAAGACAGTCTCCTGGGCTAGGGTAGTTTTGCTAACTATGCTTGCGTACCTAGAATTTGTGAGGTGTGCCTATTGGCTGCAGAGGGAGCACTTGGTTTTCACAGTGTTGTGTGTGATCAGCATGCACCTCACTTCACATGCTCTTGCTTTCAGTGTGGGTTACTTTTAATAGTGGTAGGGAAAAACTATGTGGACAAAACCCAGCAGAATCTGGCAGCAGTAAACAAAATGCCTCATAGGCCACACATAGAACCCTGATGGGCCACATTCAGCCCATAGGTTGCCCACCACTGATCTAGAAGATCTGCTTTATAAATATTTTGGGTCATTCTATGGCCTGTGTTATACAGAAGATCAGATTAGATGGTTGCTTCTGGCCTTTGAATCTATGAAAATCAGACCCAAGATCTTTTAAGAGGGCAAGTTCGGTCCAGTGTGATACATCACATGCTATTGAGTGGATCCTCGGTTGATGTAAATTTTGATAGCTCAATTGATCAGCCCCTATATCTTTGTTATACCTGCACGGTTATCATTGTTATGGTACAAATAGCTTAGTAATTTGTTCCATGCCTTGTAGATATTTTTGTCTTTTATATTCAAAAGAAACGAAGAACTTGATTGTAAAACTGGGAATATTTTGAAAGTGAAACAATACTTACGATTTGCCAGAAATCTGATCCCTCTGAAGTGAATGAGAGTTTTTCTGTTGACTTCACTGGGTTTTGGATCAGGCTGTCAGTGACTCCTTATGCAAACTGTTGCAGTTTCCCCATCTCTGTAATACAGATGCTACTGCTACTACTTTGTCTTAAGAGTGTGAATTATTCAACATCACATTATTGTCTTTTGTTACAGTATTATACTTCTTGCTGCATACTAGGGTTCATTGCTTGCTCTGTATTCCTTCGGATGAGCTTTGAACTCAAAGTTCTCCTTCTGTCCATCGCTGTGACTGTCTACATCATCATCTTTAGTAACCACCAGAATTATCCGAACTGGAGTTCAGGCTGCCTCAATGACACCAATAACACAAGGTATGGAATGAAGTTCCCAATAGTGAACAATAATTCTCCCTAAAAAGGGCTGGTAGATTCCATCACTTTTCATTGGAATTTTGAAGTATTGTAAGACTTTGTGCCAGAACCCATTAGGATATTTTTTATACACTAGGGGGCTATACCCCATTTGCCCTGACTCTCCCCCCCCATCTAAGCCTATGATGGAAGCTGGCTTCAACTAGGAAGCAGACTGCCCCCTTCAATAGATTCCAGTATTCACCATAATTTATCCAATTAATAGATCTGCTTTAGCTGGTTCTTAAGTGAGCTTAGTGTAGTTGCTCATTCACACATTTTCAAATAAACTTCACAATGTAATAACTGTAAGACAAGTGGTAGTATGT